TTTCTGACTCGAAGACTTCGTGAGGGTGCAGGATTTACACAACTGTTCGCCAACTTTTGATAAGATGTGACACTTACTGTCTTGAACTGTTGGTGGCTCTAAGACAAAAATGTGACTGATTTTTGGACCACATTATTTACAAAATATACAATAATATAATTGAATTTTTTCTTATGGTGTTGATGTTTTGGCTACCAGATGAAAGTTTAATGCATGACAAATTAAGAATTTTGGGCGTTACCTTCTGTGTGTCTACTTATTAGTGACCTTTATTAGGCTAAGAGTTGCCCTCATTTGATTTTGCTATCGGTAATTTTTACCTAAGTTTGGCTTCATACACGCAGATACTGATGGTTACCTACAGAGGTCCCTTGAAAAGGATTATTAGGGCCAAAAGTCCTAAAGCTGAGCCCATCACTAACTCAAAAACTTATGCCCAATTGTGATCTTTCATATTTTTATCCCCTAATATTATAAAAACATACTTGCATATATTTTCATATTCATATTTCAAATATTAAATGTTTGTTTAACTTTTAAACACCTCTAATAAATAATTACAATTTTTCTTAAACACCATCAAAAGCGGAAAATACACACTAGCTTTTTCCTTGTATATGTTTTTTTATATAGATCATATTATTATTATGTTATTTAGTGCTTTCCTGGAATCTGAAAAATAAACCCTAAGATAGAGGTCCTAGTATATGTTTATGTGGAAACCCTACAGCTGATGACCAACACATTCTTTTGACAAAAAGAAACTTTTACTCAAGATAGAATTTTAAAAGAATGACGCAATCATAATAATTCACTCTTTTAGATTTACAAGAATTTCTTGGATGAGGTGACCCATGATTGTTAACAAGAGATCTTCGGTCTAAAGAAGTTTAACAACTTCTTTGGACTAAATAAATTCAAACTTAACAGTGGTGCCTGAATGATAGAACAATGGGATCTTAACCTATGTCGCTTAACGTAATTAAAATCCCCGCATTTTCTTCAATAATTAAATCACGAGAAATAAAAATAAGAGCCTAAGATAGGTCGTTTAAGACACGTTTTCTCTTCTCTCTCCTCTTTTCACCAATCGAGGCGACGATGTGATTGAGCAATGATTAACCTTCGAACGATGATCATGACCAAAACATGAAGCGAAGTATGATCCCTAATTAACCTTTCCATAGACTTCAACAACATACAGCTTTAAGATTTTGAGGTTGTTCGTCAGGTGCGACTTAAATCCTCATGATACTTTTTGGGCTTTCGCATGATTGTATGTCGTGCAATATAAGTCATAACTCTTTTTAGGATTCCGAGGTTGTTGTTTGGTACAGTGTAAATCCTTCCATCTTCTTAGGTTACTTGCATAATCGTATGTCGTGCAGATGTAATTCCTAAAATTTCTAAATAAATTACAAGATTGAAACATTAAATAATATTCACTTTCAAAGATATAAAACTGAATCAAAAAATAGTTTAAGATGTCACTGAGGTTTTCTCAGTATCCTTGACATCTCCAACTTTTCATTCATTTGGGTTCCAAAAATAACTTTTCCATATTGAGTTTTTCCCATTTGATTTTCCCACAAGCAATCGTAGAAGCTAAACATTGAATTCTTGAAGACTAAACCCCAATTATAGTCAAGAGTTTTTTTAAGTGATTTCGGTTACTTAAGATGTAATTAATTATAGGGGTTTACGTCTATAGGATAATTAGTAACCCAGATAATCTAAATCTTATCTAGTCTTCATATTAGATAGTGAGAATATTTGTTGGCATTTTCACACACCGAACAAATATCCAAATTTCTTAATATGAATAATTGAGTCAATTATTAAGTGATATTCTCATCCTTTGAGATGACATATGACTTGTATTATTGTGTTTCGATTATTTAATTAATCAAATATTCAAGATCTCTTCGGTTTCATTTTTCAAAACTAAAAATTCACTTTTCAATAATCAAAATTATACATATATTGAATCAAAAATTATTTTCAAAACAAAAATAAAACCAACACATTCCTTCAGTTAACATCTGCAAGAATGAGAATAAATTTTATTAATTAGTGCACATAAAGACCAAAGGAAAATAGGTTGAGATTTTCATAGATCTTTTTATACTGTTTTTAATGATATTGCACTTTAAAGAAAGGTATTTTTGATGTTTTGTTGCAGGAATGATGAATTAGGGTCAATGGAGCAAAAAGATGTAAAAATGAGCGAATTTGGAGCAAAAAGGACCAAAATGTGGAGAATTGCACTAGGGCGCCGACGGCGAGATTTTCCCGAGGCTACAGGACAAATTCTCCAGAAGGGCGCCTACGGCGCAACCGGCGCAGTCGAGGCTGCCGACGGCGGGATTGATGGTTATGTGACATGTACAATGGATAAGGCCGGATTTTGGAGGGGTGCGTAAGCGACTCTTGGGAAAACTCATCCACATCGTTAAGGAGAACATTTTGGCCAAAAATTGAGAAGGGAGAGTAAGTTTAGAGTAAGCTTGGACTAAAGCTTGCTAGAGCGTATAATTGTGAGGAATTCTTCGAGAAATTGTAAGAGTGGAGGCAAAGTGAGAGATTTCTTCCTCTTTGCTACTTCGAAGAGGAATTCTGTGTGCTGTAAAGAAAGGAAGAGATTCAGAGGAACTTCGAGGAGTGTACTTGGAGAGAATTTAGAGATAAGTTATTCACTTGTTGTAGTTTGTATAACTTTAATTTTATATATGAATTTCGAGTTTTTATGTTTTCCCCATGAGTTATGAGTAGTTTTCTCTGTCTTTCTCCTTGTCTCGAGATTTGTGAAATGGTGATTTGAATTGGTGAAGCCAT